ATTACTTCATAAAAATATGATCTAATTGATTAACTATTCATCAAAATTTGTGACAACATATGATTTGAGTATGGCACCTGTAACTTGACTTATCCGAAGAGTAAAAAATATATAAATTCTAAATCACCTGGGAAAATTAGCAGGAAAAAAAAAAGGTGTAAAGGGATGATAATGTATTAATTTAATTATGTTTAATAGAAATGAAAATTTTGGCCAGAAACAATGCAAGTCAAAGCCAGGAAAGACAAACATTTTATCACCTATAAAATTATACAAGGACTCCTTGGCTTTTCGGCTCTTCCGTATGAAAGGTTATGATGTAAATCCAGGTAGAATTTCGTTTTTTTTATTTAATTAAGACAATTTATTTCTTGTAAATATTGTACTGACTTTAATGTTGCACGTGTTCAGGGAACTTCTGTTGGTTTCTAAATCATGCAGAAATCCTGAATCATATGGAAGAAAACTGTGAAAAATTCATTACAATGATGCACAGCGTATACACAGCCGCAGATTTGTTATTTCCAGGAGAATATGAATTAGAGGACGCAAGAGCATTTGCCAGAAGAATGATAGAAAGATCAGTTAAAAGAAATAGGGATCATAACTTTGTACTTTCCAAGGGATTTCTGAATGTGGTAAATATCTTCTTTCTTCCTCATCAATAAAATAAGAGAAATGTTACATTTACACTTGGGTGGTAACTCAGGTTTATCGCTTGGGTGACAGAATATAGAGGTGGCAAGATTTCATAGGCTGGTGAAACAAAACAAAATTCCACATGCCTATGAAATCTTGTCACATTTGCATTCTATCGTTCAGGTAGTAAACATGGATGTACAAGTAGCATATTTGATCAAATAAAATGGAAGTTATTTGTTAGTGTTAAAAAAAAAGGAAACAAGGTGGTCCACACATTGCGGCCTATGCTACACATTTCCGGTTGATTGTATTTGTCATTTTATTTCCTTCCAGATGGATGGGGACCTTAGGAAATAAAAGTCATTTGTTTGTGCTCAGTAAAATATTGAAGTTTTTCTTCATTTTAATGTTATTCAATTATCGAGATGAAACTGTGGATTTCCTGTAGGTTAAGCATGAATTGGAGCTTCCATGGATTGCTAGACTGCATCATCTTGACCACAGGAAGTGGATTGAAGAAAATAGAATAATCCCTTTGCGGGTTGGGAAGGCCTTATATTACAGGTGCATTACCACTGCACTCGACAAAATTAAGTCCTGTTTGATGGCCTTTTTTTGTGTGGAATGAGTCTTTAAATAATAAAATTTTGTGGAATACGTGGTTAAAATATAGAAAAAAAAATTGAATTTAACATGAAAATATTTTATTGTGAAATTTATTGTTAAAAATAAATATAAGAATGATTGTCAAACATGGACTAAGAGGAGAGATTAAATTCTAGTACAAGAAGCTAATACAGATGTTACTTGATAAACTTATACGTTATTCAGTCTAGACAACAAGAAGCTATTGCACCTTGCTGTGGAAAATTATGAGTTTAGACAGCTGATATACAAAAATGAATTAGAGGAACTTAAAAGCTACATGGGTTAGATCAATATAATTTGCACATTTTAAAGTATTTTTCTCCCATAAAATATTCATAATAATTAAGTTTCTTGAATCATGAACACAGGAAGTCCATGAAATGGAGACTTAGTGACATGGGATTTGGGAGAGAAAAAACTGTGTATATGTATTTCGCTGTTGCTTCTAGCATTTGCCTACCTTCGGATTCCCTTTTACGATTGATATCTGCGAAAGGCTGGGATAATTATCACAGTTGCCGATGACTTTTATAACATGGAAGGATCTATGTAAGAGATGAAAGTCTTGACAGATACCGTTAAAAGGTACTTTTCTATGTTCTTGACTCATGGGCTAATTATATGCCTACACTAGTTTGGAAATATAAGAGCATTTTCAAGAGATTCCTATTTTTAAAGAGCAAATTTTACAATTTAAAGAGACTTTATAAATTTAGAGTAAAATTTTTTAAGTATTCCAATGGCCTCTTTATATTTAACGTTTAGTTTATTACTCGATAAAATATTTATTGTTTTTGTATATCTTTTATTTTCACTAGCTTTCCTCCAAATTATTATGTTTTTTTCGTCCCATAAAAATTGAAATACTTCGAATATATATAATTATAGATAGTGTGTTTAACTCCTTAAATTGGAGAGCCAAACTCACTTTTTATTTAAAAATGTTAATTTAAATAGTCTATTTTGAAGCATAATTTTAAGAATTGACTCTTTAAAATAAAGTGCATATTATATTTAAACTTTAAAGAGCTTCTTTGAGATGCTTTGATGGATGATATTTTGTTGTTGTATTATGTTTAGCAAACAAGCCATTGATGGTAACTATTTCCTTGCAGATGGGATGGCAAAGGACTACAAGGACACAGTAAAACTATCTTTGACGCCCTTGATGATTTTGTAAATAAAATTACATCAAAATGTCACCAACATGAAAGAAGCAAAATTAGGGAAAATTTTCGAGATATTGTAAGTTTGTAACCTTATTTCCTCACATTTCCCAATTTTATCATAAATAAGAGAATTGTTAACTTAAAATCGTTACTATCAGTGGCGCGAAACTTTTTTTTCGTGGATGGTGGAGAAAACTTGGAGCCACAAAGGGCATATACCATCTGCAAATGAATATATTGAAACCGGAATGATATCAATTGGAGCGCATACCAGAACTCTTCTAGCCTCGTGTTTCTTGAATTTGGGCTTGACAAATGAAAGGCTCAAACCCGCAGAATATGAGAACACCACAAAATTGCTTATGGCTAGAACCCGGTTACTAAATGATGTTCAAAGCTATGAGGTAAATGATAAGGGAAAACTTTCTAACATCATTTTTTTTTTTCCACAAATTTTTTAATTAGTGAAAATTCTTAATTTTGGTTGATACTACAGAAGGAAAAAGCAGATAGGAAAATGAATCTTGTATTAATCCACTTGAATGAAAATCCCCAGGCTTTTATAGATGAATCAATCGCTCATGTGGAAGAGATTGTGGAAGTGGAAAGGAAAGAATTCCTCAAACATGTTCTGATGGATGGATTTGATGATTTGCCAAAGTCATGCGAGAATCTTCATCTTTCTTGTATGAAAGTATTCCAGATGTTTTTCAACTCTGCCAACTTACTTTATGGTGAAGTCGCGCTTGTTGATGACATTAAGAAAGCAATTTACCTTCCTATTCATCATCTGTCCAGACCTTTCGTGAAGCCGCTGCCATTAGTTCCTAAGAAGAAGAAGAAGGATGAAGTAACCAAGACCACTGTTAGTTTCCATCGAGCCTTAAGAAATCGGGCAAGTATAAATATGATTAAAGGCCCATCTTTCGGGACTATCGCTATTCCAAGAGCTGGACAAGTTAATATCCCAATGAGATCTAATTTCTACTACATCTGATCAGAACCCTGCAGTTTGTTGTTGTAATAAATAGTTCTTGACTGGTTAGAATGTGATAAATAGTTTGTTACATGTTCAGGAAGATCTGTTAGAATTGAACGATATTTGCTGTAATTATTTTTGTTGAGAAATAAATTTGATTTATACCAACTTACGTTTAAACTTTGGGTCTATTAATCCTTTTAACATGTTCAATTATGAGGTACTTACAGAAATATCCATAATTTTGGAATACTTTTAAAAAATTATTATAAAATGGGCTAAAACATAAATAATACAATTCATCCCAATTAAACTGTAAGAAGTAGTGAAACAGCATATTCAAAAATAGTGTTGACGGCTTAAAAAATATCGAAATCTTGCACTCTCAACTCAAAAAAAATCGAAATAGTAAGAGGAAATCTTGCACAAATCAAGCCCAAACAAGGTGAACGATTGCTTCAACTACCTTTTATTCGAAGCTTTCTTTCCCAAATTTGCAAATAATTAACCCAAATCTACAAGTTTGTATGTTTATAGTTTTTTATTCAATTAGTTCATATTTTGTTTGATTTTGATATTGTTGAGGGTGGTCCTTTTTTTTTTTCCTAGTATATATGAATTTATAATTTGATGGAATTTTCAATTGAAATACTCTGTCACATTTTTTAGAAAAGGTCTAACACTATTTCATTTGTACTCTTTTTGCTTATATGATAAAATTAGCATTTTTATACGTTGTGAAGGGAAATGAAAACCAGATAATGAATATAAAAGTTACCAAATGATGACTAGAATTGTTGTTCCAATAGAATGAATATGCAATCACCTTTGTTAAAATGTAAGATTCACTTTTTTGTTAAAATAATGAAATATCATCCACTTTTTTTTAAGAAGGAAAGTTTTGACAATATTAAAAAGATATTAAAGTGGCATTATCATCATTGATATGTAATTTTATCAATAAAATAACTACTGCATCCTTATAATTATATATAAGCTGATTTTGGCAATAATTCTATGAATTTAAATCATATGTTCGCAGGTCGGATAAGCGAAACAATACAAGTATATATTGATGATATTCTTCTTAGAAGTCTGAAAACTGAGGACCATTTGAAACACCTAGAAGAAACATTCCACATCCTTTGAAACTACCGTATAAAGCTTAACCCACTTAATTGTGCTTCTGAGATTATGTCCAGCAATTTTTAGGTTTCATGGTATATTAAGGAGGCATTGAGCGGAATTTAGATAAAATACGAGTTCTTATTGGGATGTGACTCCTTGTGAAACCTAAAGTGGTCCAAAGTATCACTATAAATGACACGACCCGTCCCGAATCACCCTAATAGACCCGACACGTGTCGTGCACCGAGAGTAGATACTAGCTAAGTACCAGACCTACCATCAAGGTAACTTTGACCTGTTTTGACTATAATATTCTTTGCAAAATTTTTGGCAGAGTTCTCCCTGAATTATGGACTAAAATCACCTGAATTATATAATCCAATATTCCAAACAGATACATATAGTTTAAAATAAGGTACACTGGTCCACAGAATATCAACTATTCAAATACAACATTGGCAATTCGACCTTCGCAACAATTTATAAACCACAGTATCCAAAATGCATAATATATACAAAACATAGCAGGCCCAAAACATGGAACTAATTTCTGACCAAAAGATGTGTCTATCCCAAAATATGAACTATTAAACTGATAAGATTAGTTATTCAATGCTTGACAATCTATGGCTCAACTCGATAGATCAACTGGCCAAGTAGTGCTCAACTCAGCTACTATCTGATAAGAGAAATTGTGATAAAAATGTGAGCCTATAACTCAGTAAGTGGATATTTCGTAAGTAAATAAATATTTTCTAGATAGGCCAACTTTTTGAAAACTAGTATATAATAAAAATGATCTTTTATTGTACTATAAGCTAAAACATTTATTCTTTAAATTGAAATAACTAAATTCTATAATGAACTGCAAGTTACTGAAAATCACACCAAAAAGACACCCAGAATAACCTTACTCATGTATCAGCTAGTACCAATATACATGGCAGAGCTATTCGATTCTGTAATCCTGAAATTCTAAAATTTTGTAATTCTTAAATTCTGTTCATATGCGAACAGAGCTGAAATTCTGTAATTTTGGTCATACACTATGCAAACACATTCACAATAGTATAGAGCGGGTAAAATCACCATAATTGGTCATACACTGTGGAAACAAGTTCACACCAATGTAGACTGGGGTAAAATCACCTGGGTACTTTCTGGTGATTTTTAGAAATAACTTTATATATTCAGTAAAACGTAATATCGATAAAACATGCTAATGAAATGATTTTAATGAAATGATTTAACTGAATTGGATCAAACTTTAAAAACAATTGTTTATAAATCAACTTTATTCCGAAATCATGCTATCAAATCAACTGTATGAAATAATAAATTTTCTGATTTAATATAAATTGAATAAATACTTATTTCTGAAGAATTAATTTTCATGCACTCACTCAATACGAGTTATAGACTAGGCCAGTCGGTAAGCTTTTACAATTTCTTCGTCACCACCTGAAATACATTACAAAATAACTAATTTAATCACTATTAAAATAAAGAAACATTTTATCTCTAATGATATAATAATTAAACTAAATTCCCCGAGACTTGCAAAATTTTCCTAAATTTCCTTTAATCAATCGGAGCTAATTTCCACTTTCTAATACCTTCACAATTATATACCACATCCAAATTTAACTTCATTTCCCATCATACCAATATTTATCCCTTTCATTCTAGTGAAAAACTAGCAATCATACTACAACGAAATTAATATATCTATCATTCCCTAAAATCATTCTTCCAAGTGAATAAATCCATTAATGTAATCATTTCCATCCATGCTCAATCATCAAATTTAAAAAATAGGGTTTGCCCAAAAAAAATTGATATCTCCTTACCCTAGTGTAGATAGAAATTCAAGAATCAATAACTTGAGCTCCAAGTAGTATTCATCTCAAAAATCTAAAAATTTTGAGCCAAAATAAAACCTTAGAATTTTAACATAAAATTTATCTACCTCTCGAAGAAAATAAAGAGAAAGGAAAAATGGAAATAAACATTGAACTACCTCTTTCCTTTCTTCTTCTTCTTCTTCTTCCTTTTTCCTTTTTCTCCTTCTTTTCTTTCCTTTTCTTCTCTCTTTTCTCTTCTCTACATTTTTTTTCCTTCATTGTCATTTTTTTTCTTGTGTGTGTATTGTGTGTTCTAGAGAGAAAAGTGATGGTCAAAGGCATTTAAAACCCGCTAACTCCAATTCGTAAGAAAAGTCCCTCTTCTCTAATATGAGCTAACATTCAAAGCCTAAACTTTCCAAAATATATAAGTAAATTTTCAACTTCAAATTGTATCCAATTTTATCCTCATATATTGCCAATAGTAAAATAAACCCTATAAAATATTTAATTTCATTTTAATCCTTAATTGACTTTGACATTGACTAGTTAACATTTGAATTCTTGACTATAAAAATTGAGTTGTAACAATCTTACCTCCTTAAATGAATTTCGTCCTCGAAATTCAAGTGGCAACTGACTAGGCAATGAATAAATGAGGATATTGAGCACGCATCTGATCCTCTTTCTCCCATGTAGCTTCTTCTACTGTTTGACTATGCCAAAGTACCTTAACAAGTGCAACTGTCTTATTTCGTTGAGTTTGCACTTTCTTGTCTAAGAATTTCATTGGCTCTTTTATATAAGTCAAATTCTCCTTCAACTAAATTGGCTGAGACTCCAGAACATGAGAGAGATCTGTAACGTACTTGCAAAGCATGAAAACATGAAAATATGAAAAACATCATGGATTCGAGATAATTCATCTGGCAGATCTAATCGATATGCAACTGGACCAATCCGCTCAGTAATCTCATAGGGTCCAATATATCGTGGACTCAACTTTTCTCGCTTGCCAAATCTCAACACCCCTTTCCAAGGAGATAATTTAAGAAAAACTTTGTCTCCTACTACAAATTCAAGATCTTTCCTGTGCCTATCCGCATAACTTTTCTGTCTATCCTGAGCTGCTTTCAACTTTTCTTCGATCAATTTCACATTTTCAGGCATCATTGGAACCAATTCAGGGCCTACTAACTTTCCTTTACCAGCATCATCCCAACAAACTGGTGTTCTACACTTTTGACCATATAAAGCTTCAAAATGAGCCATTTCTATACTGGAGTGGTAGCTGTTATTGTAAGCAAACTCCATCAATGGCAGATTAGTATCCCAGCTACCTTTGAGCTCTGAAACACTAGCCCTCAACATATCCTCAACAGTCTGTATGGTCTTCTCTGACTGGCCATCTGTCTGAGGATGAAAAGCTATACTGAAATGTAGTTTAGTACCCAGGGCTTCCTGCAAACTGGGTCAAAATTTAGATGTAAAATGAGGGTTTCTATCAGACACAATAGATAATGGAGTACCATATAGGCTCACTATCTCGTCCACATACAACTTTCCCAACTTATTTAAAGTATAAGTAGCCTTGATCGGCAAGAACCTAGCAGTTTTGGTTAAGCGATCTACAGTAAACCAAACTCCATCATGACCATTCTGAGTACGAGGAAGACCAAATAAAAAGTTCATGGTAATGTGCTCCCATTTCCATTCTGGAATAGGCAATGGCTGGAAAAGTCCTGCTGTTTTCTGATGAACTGGCTTTACCTGCTGACAGATAAGACATTTGGATACAAAATCTGTTATTTCTCTCTTCATTCCAAGCCACCAGTGATGATCGTTCAGTGTATGATACATTTTACTACTGCCTGGATGCATAGCATAAGCAGAACTATGTGCCTCTTCTAAAATTTCCTTCTTTAATTCTGGAATATCTGGAACACATAATCTATTACCCATGGCGAATGCACCATCATTCATAATAACATAATTCATTTGTAACCCAACACTAACTTCTGCTTTCAATGTTCTCAACGTCAAGTCTTGAGATTGAGCTTCTCTAACCTTATCAATCAAAGAAGGCCTTACCTAAAAATGAGCTAATAATGTCCCTGAAGTAGTAACTGACAACTGAGTGTGTAACTTCTTGAATTCACAAATCAAAGAAGCATATACTGCACTAGATGGAGATGAAGAACTAGTCTTTCTACTGAGAGCATCTGCAACTACGTTAGCTTCCCCTGGATGGTAGTCAATCTTACAATCATAATCCTTTACCGATTCCAACCATCTTCTTTGTCTTAGATTTAGTTCCTTCTGATCAAAGATATACTTTAGACTTTTATGGTCGGTAAATATTTGACATTTCTCACCATACAGGTAGTGCCTCCAAATCTTTAATGCCAACACCACTGCAGCTAATTCCGAATCATAAGTTGGGTCATTTAACTCATGCTTCTTCAATTGTCTAGAAGCATAAGCTACAACTTTCCCATTTTGCATTGAAACACAGCCCATTCCTTGGCGTGAAGCATCACTATAGATCACGAACTCTTCATCTGGAGATGGAAGAGTAAGTATAGGAGTAGAAACTAATCTTCTCTTCAACTCTTGAAATCTCTTTTCACATTCTTCAGTCCACACAAACCTGGTGTTCTTTCGAGTCAAACTAGTCAGAGGAAGAGCAATTTTGGAAAAATTCTCTACGAACCGACAATAATGTCCTACTAGCCTAAGAAAATTCCGTACTTCTGTAACATTAGTAGGGCATTCCTATTTTATTAGGGCTTCAATTTTCTGAGGATCTACAAAAATACCTTTTGATGAGATAACATGACCCAGAAATACAACTTTGTCTAGCCAAAATTCACATTTGCTAAACTTAGCATACAACTGCTTATCTCGCAAAGTCTGTAAAATAATTCTCAAATGATCAGCATGCTCATCACGACTGCGAAAATAAACTAATATATCATCAATGAAAACAATCACAAATTTGTCTAAATATGGGTGAAGCACCCTATTCATCAAGTCCATAAATGGTGTAGGGGCATTAGTCAACCCAAACGGCATCACTAGAAACTCATAATGACCATATATACCATGACCTAAAAGTAGTTTTCTGCACATCAACATCCCTAGTTTTGAGTTGATGGTACCATGAGCGCAGATCAATCTTAGAAAATACTGTGGCACCTTGAAGTTGGTCAAACAAATCATCAATACGAGGCAAAGGATACTTATTGAGAATAGTCACTTTATTCAGCTGTCTATAGTCAATACACAATCGCATTCTGCCATTTTTCTCCTTTACAAATAAGACTGGTGCTCCCCATGGAGATACGTTGGATCTAATAAAACCTTCGTCAACTAAATCTTGCAATTGAATTTTCAATTCCTTTAACTTTACTGGAGCCATTCTATAAGGCGTCTGCGAAATAGGGGTAGTCCCGGGATCAAGTCAATGGTAAACTTAATTTCTCTATCTAGAGGCAACCCTGGAAGATCTTCAGAAAAAACATCAGGGAAATCTCTTACCACAGGTATATCATCAAGATTCAATTTAGTGATTTGGGTATCAATCACATGAGCCAAATACGCAGAACAGCCTTTTCTAAGCAATCGCCCAGCATCAAGTGCAGAAATAAGACATGAAGGTAATATTCTCTGTTCACCACTAAAAATAATTCCAGGCTCTTCTGGCCTTCTGAACACCACCTCCTTGCGAAAACAATCAACTGAAGCATGATTTGCAGCTAAGAAATCTATGCCCAATATCATATCAAAATCATGAATATCAAGTGGAATCAAATTAGCTTTTAACTTATGATCATTCATTCTAATCACGCAATCCTTGTACACTCTGTTAGCTAAAAGTGAATCTCCTACTAGAGTAACTACCACTAAATCACTGTCTAATAGTTCCGACATATTGTCCGCATTAATAGCAAATGCATATGATATAAATGAATGTGTAGCACCAGAATCAATTAAAGAACGAGCATTTTTGCCAAAAATAGATAACATACCCATGGCTACATCTGGGGATCCCTCGGCATCATGTTGAGTTACTACAAACACTCTTCCCTGAGTCCTGGGACGTCCTGCCTGACCTTTCTGTTTAAAACCAGTGTTGCCAACATCTGACTGAATAGCACTAGTCGTACCTGCTTTACCTGCCAACTGCTCCTGGTTCTGATTCTATCTGGAAATTCCAACACCTGATTGTAAAGATCTTCCTTGTGATACACCACCCTACTGAAAACGATCTAGACACTCTCTCCTCATATGCCCAGTCTGACCACAGTGGTAACAAACACCAACGCCCTTAAGGCACTCACTAGGGTGAAATTTTCCATAAGTCTGACACTGAGGAAACTTGGCAACACTGGAGCTATCACCCTGCCTAGAAGTAAATAATCTCTAGGAAGATCCCTATGTTTGAAAACGACTACTCCGTGGCTATTGCATAGATCTCTAACTGCCATGAGATCTGGATTTGAAGCTGCCAGACATGGAAACACCCAATCTACCTCCTCTATGATCTCTTCTCGGTGGTCTATTCGTTGAGACTCCTGCCCACTGATGACTACCACCAACTCTAGCCCTCATTTGTTGCTGACTATTTTGTCATTCTAAAAGACTTTTCTCCACTCTCATCGCTGCTTTTACATGTTTACGAAAATTCTCATACCCTGTTGCAGTTACCACAGATCTAATTTCTTCTCTCAAGCCATGTTCAAACCTTCTGCACTTATCAACTTCATCGGCTACAAGGACCGCATCATACTTTGATAATTCTACGAACTTTCTCTGATATTCTGCCACTGTGGATGTCTGTACTAGTTTCAAGAATTCATTCTGTTTGTCACTCTTATATGAACGGGGGCAGTAATACTCATTAAAATCTTCTTTCAAATTAGTCTATGTGATCATAGAAGGATCAACATATTTACTTTGGACTGACCTCCACCAATCATAAGCACCTCCTTCTAACAAAAAGGTTGCCAAATGCAATTTTCGATCATTGGGACAATCCATAACATGAAATACTCTTTCAATCCTTACCAACCAAGATTAGGCTCCTGCTGGATCAGCAGTGCCTGT